GAAGGAAGGAACATTCCTTCACATCCGGGGTGGATCCTTTAACCTCCATATAAACCCCCATTTCCCGCACTCTGGGTTCTGGTCCGGGTTTTGGTTCCAGCATCTACTCCTCGTCTCGTCCTGCTCTCGGCTCCAATTGGATCTACATGTCGGTCCTCAACTCGACTCTCCACGTCGTCACTCTCATCAATTGGACTTCCCGGGACATTGGCAGAGATCAACGCTTCTCATCAACCTATGGTTAGGCTGGCATATCCACTGTATTTTGTTCTTTTAACTACCAGTAAACGATTCCCTGTGCACCTCGCGCCATAACGACCACCACATCCATCTCACATTTACTACAAGGATTTCTTCAACCAGAGTATCTGAGGAAATGAGCAATAAATTGGAAATCGTAGTTAAAGACAAATGCTATCATTACATCCATTTACTTTTTGGCCTCAAAAATGCCACCACTACTACGGAGTCTGCGCACACCTTAGTGATATATTGGTTTATACCAAATCAAGAGAATTCACTGAACACTTACGAGTACTAGCCTCTGTATTTCAGAGATTTTGGGAATTCAATTTAAAACTATCCCTCAAGAAATGCGTTTTTGAGCGTAAAACAATCAATTTTCTAGGTCAAACGATCTATAAAGGGGGAAATAAACCAAGGCCTGCCAAATTAGAAGCCATCAAAGAATTCCCCACACCACACGCGGTGCAGCAGGTAAGATGCTTCACAGGTTTATAAAAACTTTATCGGCGCTTCATTCCACGCTTCACCAGCATCTCAGCCCTCTCACTGAATTAACAAAGGAAAATTGTACATTTATATGGGACGACATACACCAAGCAGTTTTTGATAAACTCAAAACCTTATTACTGCAGGAACCACTACTTAGGCATCCTAATTATGACAAGAACTTTTATATTTTTACGGAATGCTCTGCAGCAGCGTTAATCCAACGAGACAGTGAGTCACAAAATGCCTTAGAAGTAAAGATGGCGAAGGTGCGAAGGAATTCACGAAGAAAGAAATGGTGTAGTAAAGGAGGCAAGAGTGAGATAAAACGTTTCGGTCCATTAGGTCATATACGTCTTAACACTGCGACTGGACCTCGTCAGTGTGACGGCCGCAGTGCATAAACAGAAGGAAGTAAGGACGAAATGAAAGCAAGGAGAAACAAAAACTGTAATATTAAAAAGCGTAAAAGAGGTGAGAAGAGGGGGATAAGGATATCCGATCCAAGCACATTGATGTCTGTGTCATCCTTCACATCCAACCCTTCGTTATCATCATGTTTT